CTTTTTTGGGCTGCCGCTGCAGACTGTTTACAATTCGTTGATTCAAACATCCCAACCGTATCTAGTGGACTTCACTCTTTAGAACCCAAATTGTATTTTTCATACCGTACTAAGAGAATCATGTAAAAACCTGTGCCAATTGTTTTGTCTAGATCTCATTCGAAGGACCCTGTTTCCAGCTCGAAGAAGATGAAGTTCTTCTGGGGCTCAGCGGTCTTCTCGCTCGCCATCTCCTTGGTCTGGTGTGGCATCAAGGACCTTCACGGGCACTTTGACCAGGTGGGTGAGGAGGCCCAGCCCCTCCAGCCTCGTGGCCTTCTCAGGAACGAATCCTTTCGGGTGACGAATCTGTCCCCCGAATTCCATCAAGAAAACACCGTGACCAACGACTTGAGCATGGAAGAAGAAGAGGAGGAGGAGGACTATCTGGACTTCGACAAGATCTTAGGTGAAGATGACTACATCGATATCATCGACAGCATTCCGGAAACAATTTCTCACATCGACCAAGGAAACGTGCTGACCCTCTTCCGTGGGAAGACCAGAATCCAACGTCTCAACATCCTGAATGCCTATTTCGGCTTAGACCTCTACCGAACCCTTCGGGACCATGTCAACTCTTCCGATAATATCCTCCTGGCTCCGGTTGGCATCTCCACCGCCATGGCCATGGTTTCGTTGGGACTGAGAGGACCAACGCGGGATGAAGTCTTCAACATTCTCGGTTTCGAAGACTTTGTGAACACCAGTTCCACGTACGACTACCTGACGATTCACAACCTCTTCCACAAACTCACGCACCGGCTCTTCCGGAGGAATTTTGGCTACACCCTCCGTTCGGTCAACGACCTCTACATCCAAAGGCAGTTTTCCATCCTGAGTGAGTTCAAGGACAATATGAAAAAATACTATTTTGCCGAGGCTCAGCTGGCCGACTTCTCCGACCCAACCTTCATCAAGAACGCTAACGAGCGAATCCTAAAGCTCACCAAAGGCTTAATTAAAGATGCGCTCGTTAATGTGCACCCCGACACGCTGGTGATGATCCTCAACTGCTTGTACTTCAAAGGTAAGGAAAGAAATAAGAAGACAGGATAATAATGGAAGGGACCTGGGAGGTCTTCTAGTCCAGTGTTTGTCAACCTTGGCAACTTGAAGATGTCCGGACTTCAACTCCCAGAATTCACCAGCCAGCATTCGCTGGCTGGGGAATTCTGGGAGTTGAAGTCCGGACATCTTCAAGTTGCCAAGGTTGACAAACACTGGACTAGAAGCCCTCCCAGGTCCCTTCCATTATTATCCTGTCTTCTTATTTCTTTCCTTACCTTTGAAGTACAAGCAGTTGAGGATCATCACCAGCGTGTCGGGGTGCACATTAACGAGCGCATCTT